CTCACAGCATGGCAAAATGGCCAAGAGAGCAAATGCAACCCTCGTTAGCAATGAGCAGCACCTGCAGAAGGAGGGGTTAAAGAAGTCACTACTTTTTGTCACATCCTCAAGGTGGTCACTGCTAGGTATTGTAACCATTTCTAGTCTCATCACTTGAGCAAAGGCGTTGATAAATACAAATGGTTCAGAGATAGTGCCACCTGAGGAAAATCTCCCTCACGCTGAGCACTTAAAGATCAACCTCACTACCTCACAGAAAGGGCACAGAGGAGAGCAAAACACTGCCTAAGACTGCCTATGTGGAGAGGGAAATCTACAGGCATTACAGATTCTTCAGCAGGCTACAAATCTCTTGGACTCAAAAATGAGACAAAGAACAGTGCTAAACTGCCACATTTGGAACAACTTATCCAGTAAATTTGCCATCCCTGCTAGCTTTGGAATCAATACTGCTGCCATACAGAATACTCATTCAGAAATGAAATGCTGAACGAAGTCCATGAAATCCTATGCCCTGTATTATTTAAAACACAGTAGATGATCATAAGAGTCCACTTGGGTCTTGAAAATCCATGAGTGTAGTTCAGAGGACATGTAGTTCTAGAAGCTAAGTAAGAGGCTCATCATTTTCCAGGATGAGCTTTCCCTGAAGGTTTTCCCTGAAGATTAAATTATTTATCCTATAACTGAAAAGTAAGCTGCAAAGGTATGAAGTATCAAAAAGCTTCAAAGTATGAAGCAGCAAGCCCTCAAAAGATAAAATTTCCTCCTGCTTTCCTATTTTCCTTAATTCTAGCTGAAAACGTACAGACAATAGACAAACTTTATGTTTTGAAGAAGACCAAATGTTCTGTAGGCACATGGAGAGGAGATCAGCACCCTCACAATCAAATCTTGTGAAAAGCAGATACTTGGTGTATCTGAGTTCACAACAGGGCTCTAAAGAAATTGGCTTTTCTGGTTTTGATGACCTATGTGACAGATGTGGTGTTGTACATTTCCAAGAGGTGGAATCTACAGCAGCCTTCTTTATGCCTAACTGGATTTTACCACGTTGACTGAACATCGAAGTTTTTACAATATGAGGCTCCAAAACCATGTCTTGCCTAGTCATTCTTGTTTCCTCAGCCAGTTTTATCCATTTCTGCTCCAATCTGTATAGCAGCATACAGAGCTCCGGTAATCCCCACAAAACTCATACTGTAAGACTCAGTACTGTATATTTTCCAAGAGTAACATTTAAGATATCACTTTAATTCACTGGGAACTGAGATGAGCTTTTCCATGAAATTGTATTTGATTTGGTAAAGAGGAACTTCATAGCGTGAGGCTAGGACTATCTTTATGTGATTTACAGCAGAATTTCCATCTTTTGCACACCTTCAACAAATACCAGGACTTGATGAAGACCTTACTTTTCAGGTGGACCAGTCCTAAGTTTCATCCTTTGGATACCAATATGAAGAAGGCGCCCAGGTTGGTTGTCTTAATCACATTTTCAGTTTTGATGGGCAGAAAATGTAGTGTAGTTATATGTGTGAGCCCTGAATAAGGTTAAGAGCAGGTGTTTGCTCCATGCTGGTTTTGGGAAAATATGGCTGGATTTTGTTATGCTGTAAGTCAGGGAAATCACTCAAATCTTCCCCTCCCCTCAACAGGTATGTTCTGGGGGGCATGGGGGGTTGGCATTCTTCTCTGACCTGGTCTGTGTTTAATCAACACTTTTATCTCACTTTGCAGTAACTCCTCACATGTACCACTGACATAATCAGCTAAGTTCTCTCTGTGTTTTTCACTTTGTCAGTAAAATACTGTTTGGAAGGTGAATTCATGGCAAAGAGGTTATGACCAGTCTGTCTCAAATCCTGATCTTGGTGTTTTGAAAAGTAAATTGCTAGGAAATTGTCATTTAAATTCCTGTGCTCTGTTTTTGAATTGTACAGTCTTAGAAGAAAATAGAATTTAGTTTAAACTAAATTGCTGTTACTTTTCAACATACTTGAGTAAAGTCCTGGAGATAAAATAAAAATAATTAACAGAAGCAGTTATTGCCAAGCTAAAGTGAAGGTCTGAGTTCTGACCTCCACTTTGTGCCAACAAACTACCCTGTGCTTTTTGGCTGCAGCCACCTATTACCCTGAAAAACTCAAGGAATTCTTTGTCTTGTTGCAGTGTAATTTTTTTAGGACGGCTAGTACATCTTTAATCCTAAGAAAGATGCTGCAGTTGCCCAAGCCGGGTGACACTTGGAAGCACATTATCGCATACAGAATGTTCATTAAAAGCGGATTAGGAGAAGATCTCATCAAACATACCAATTCCGCTTGAAATAAACGGCTTCTAAGCACAGGAAATGTTAGAGGAATGGACCATAGGCGCAGGCTAGTTTGGTTTGCATATTTTAGAGAGTGTTTTGAGCTGATGTGTGTGGGACTAGGCTCTTTACTCCAGCAGTTCTGTTTACTTTGCTCGAACAGAGTAGAGGTGACAAGATGTGGAAACTTAATGAAAAAGATATCCCAAGCATGAAACACTGTAGAAAAATTATGCTTAATAATGAACTAATTAAAAAAGAAATTAAATGAAATGCAGCTTTCACTGTTAGGTTCTAGATTTCTCTCCCCCAAACATTAGACGAAATTGCATTGTTTACAAAAATTTATTAATACAAACTTTACACACTTTATATAACAGTTATCAAAGTCCTAGTTATAGATATCATGTGTGTAATAATACTTTGTTTAAGTTCTTTTTATATTCATTTGCACACAAAATAAGTTCTCCAAGACTAACATCTACCTACTATGACTGTATCTCAAATCTGCTCAAATTTTGGTAAGGCTGTTGGCGTTTCTGGAAAAAAAAAAAAAAAAAAAAAAAAAAGAAATCGTACAAAGGATAATAACCTAGGTGATCACTTCATAATGCTTGCGACTAGCCACTGAACTCTAACTGATAAGGTCATAAACAAAACGTCAAGAGAGCCCTATGTCATTATACCACAGCCGACACAAACACAGCGCACTCTGCCCATGGCCAGAGAACAGAAGGACGACTAAAACGCAAGCCGATGTGTTGCAGCATCGTAGGGCCACTAAATGCCATCCGTGAACTCGTGGCGATTTACAAGGTGAAGAGAAGGCACGAAAGCTGCACACTGCGCCCCGCGTCCCTGCGCCCCGGGAGCGCCCGGCGGGAGCGGCCGGGGCAGCGCGGGCGGGCGGCCGTGCCGTGCCGTGCCGGCAGCGCCTGCCCGCCCCGACGGGCTCTGCCCGGCCCGCTCCGCTCCTCCCGGCCGGGGAAGGAAGGTTTTACCCGCGAGGGTTTGTAGGGAGGGGTTGGGGGGTTGCTTTCCGACGTCTTGGATGCGGGGCTCGTTTTGTCTTTGGAAAGACTCCTGTAAGGTTTGTGTGGTGAGCTGGAAGGAAGCGGGTACCTACGTGTCCTCCTTCGCTCCCGGCCCTGGCGGGGGACCGGACCAGCCCCCGGGCAGACGGTAAGATAGGAGTCCGTACATAGAGAGATGAGGTGAAAATGGTTTATCTCGTTAAAAACCGGACCACAGGTGAACACTACACATTCTTTTATGACAAAAGTTTGTTTTATGAAATAAATTTTACTAAGCAATAAGCCAGAATGTAGAAAAATACATTTTACCTCCAAACTCAATAAACAAGGAACAAAAACTTTCGTAGTAGTGCATAATTCTTTAGTGGTAGCTACAACAGGGGTTCCTAAACTTGTACAATAAGAGCTTGCATAAAACAGAACAAAGGAGTGAGAGAGCGTTCACAATCTTTTTTTTTTTTTTTTTTCCAAAAAGAACATAACCCAAAAAGGTGACTCAGGTGGGTTAAACAGAGCTCGGAAAAGTTCGAAGAGAGGATGAGAGGCGGGAGGTCCTACAAGAAAAAGCAATCAAAGAAAAGAGCAACTCCGACCGAAAAATGCAAAGGCGAGAACCCTGCTCATTATTACACATGATGAGAAGCATGGACAGCACTGGAGAGTAACACACTGTACTTTGCATCCAGGTCCAGTACCGAGCTGCCCGGGGCAGTTGGGTAGCGGATCGGAGGTGGGATCGCCTCGTCTTACCTCGACCCTTGCGGCACCGGCTCCGGTACAGGCTCTGGCCCCGGGGCGCGCCGGGGGCCGCCCCCGCTCACTTCCCCACTCTTTCCAAACGGGTCCTGTCTCTGCTTTGGCTTTGTTCTGCAACTCTGCCCAGACAGCCAGAAGAGCAGTACACGGGGCTTAGTACTTACTACCCTTGCTGCTGGTTCGGGATTTTGGGGTTGGGGTTTTGAGTTTGGCTATTTTTGGTTTTGTTTTTAATTTTTTTTGTTATTATTATTTTTAGTTTTGGGTTTTTTAACTATTTCTCCCTCCAATAGGCAACAGAGATGCAAAATTTGGATCGAGCTGTTGTTTTCACAAGATAAGTATCCTCTAAGCTCATTGTTTGAGGATACACTAATAGAGATACAACTGGAATCAAAGAAAGCAGGAGAGAAAAAAAAAATAATCGAAATCTAGAAGAAAGGGGACGCTGCCCCTTTAGAGAGGCTAGTGGCAAAGGAGCCTGCCTTGAGACTCACCAGGGGAAGAATCTGCTTCGCCAATTCTCCCAAATCAATTTCCTCATAATCCCCCTGGGAGCAGGTCATCCTTCTCTATGTACAGTAGCAAATGGTGAAAATTAATGTCTTCGACCCTGTCTCGGATAAAAATACTATCCTTTTAATTTCTGTTACAAAAATAGGAGTAATATTCAAAACAATGATTGTCTCTTTTTTTCTATTTATTTTATATAAAAACATAAACAGCTCAGGCGAATTCTTGTTCTTGTGCAGGCTTTTCATGAAGAATTGTTCTTTACTATTCTTAGTAGTATTTATATATATATATTTATATATTATATATAACTTAACGATTGGTCCACAAAGTAGATCTGTGCGTTTCTCTAGTGCTTTTTGTACAAAAGAAAAACAATATTATTATCAAAATATTCATTTAATGGCTTTACTTCATACATAAATACATGTTTAGATAACACAGGAGCGGTGATTGTTCAGTCAGTTTGGAAATGACTTTTGTTTTTGTTTAGATTTTGTTGTTGTTGTTGTTGGGTTTATCTCTCTCTCTCTCTCTCTCTCTCTCTCTCTCTCTCTCTCTTAGGACTTTGTATACACAGGAGTGGCTGGTTACTCACATCGCTACAAATACGCTACTCGGCGTCCTTTGTTTTTAATTCTTTGTTTATACCTTTTCCCCAGGACGGCTGCTAAGTATTTCTTGACAGCCATTTGTTTCCGGTAGCGGCTGTAGCTGTCCGTGAAGATGCCGTCTATGTGCCGCTTGGTCAGCGGTTCCGCATCGTCCCCCAGGCCGCCGCTGGCACCGCTGCAAGCACCGAGAAGCACAGCTGCATCAGGCGGGGCCGCTCCGCCCCTCTCCGCGCCCCTCCGCACCGCCCCCTGCCCTGCGCAGCCCCGCGCCGGCCGCTGCCCCCGGCGCAACACGTTGCGCGGAAGATGCGCGGGGAGACAAAGGCCGCTCCGAAACCCGACGCTGAGCGCGCAAGGGGCGGCGGCGGGAGAGACAATATCGCCCCGCCATGAATTATTCATTACGGCCGCGAAAGCTGCTCTCCCTGGGGCTTCATTAACGTGTTACCTTCTGCCGAAGGGCAGCGGGTGGCACCGGGCTCGCCCTGCCCCGCCGGCGGCGGGAGCCCCGGGGAGCCCCGCCCGGCGGCTGGGGGTGCGCAGGGCTTCAAGCGAGCCTCCACTGCTGCAGCTGAGCCCTCGATCATCGCTCTCGATAAGCTGCTCCCCCCAGCAAACCGTAAGGGCTGCCCAACTTGCTCATTTTAAATCGGTTGATTTTAAAAATTTATAGAGACATATAGCTAGCTAGATTGATATAGACATAGACATAGACATAGACATAGACATAGACATAGATAGATACATAGATAGATAGATAGATAGATACACATGCATGTGTGTATATATCTATATATATACACGCACATAGATATCCGTATGCCCAAGAATAGAAACCCAAACAAAAATCCGCGAACACCCGCGCTGACAACCAGGCTCACGCTGCGCCGGGAGCGGCCAGGGTCAGCTGGTGCTTGGGGAGCCGGACTCCACCAGACTCATTCCCCGCATTCCCGACCCCGGCCGGGGCAGCTTTGTTCCCCCCAAGCCGCGGCCCTTCCAGCGCCTCCGCCCCAGCGCACCAACGCCCACCGCGGAAAAGAACAAGCAGAGAGCCTTACCCGACCCGCTTGGCCATCAGTGAGTGCAGATATTTCCTGGCAGATAACTGGCCCAGGAGTTTCCTGTAGGCTTTGTTGAAGATCCCATCGGCGTGCCTGGGCAGAGGGAAGAGCCCGCGAGTGAGCGGCGAGGCCCGGGAGCCGGCTGCGGCGGGTTGCGGGAGCCCGGGCGGTAGCGGCGACCATCCCTCTCCGCCAGCGAGAGGAGGGCGGCATCTCCCCGCGTCCCCCGGGACCCCTCGTCCCCACCCAGATCCCTCCCCGCCGCGCTCGCTCGGTTCCGCGCCGGCCGGGCATTTCTGCTCCGTTTGCGGGATCATCGCTATCCCTCCTCGGCGCGGGCGGCTCCCCCGCTCCCTCCCCCGCGCTGCTGGAGGTAAGGCGGCTTTTCCATTTCTTCTGAGCTTTACACTGGGCACCGGGACCTGGCCGGTATTGTCGTTTGCTTGGGTTCGGGATTTTTATTTTGATGTTGTTGCTCTTTGCTTGTTAGGTATCATTACTATTTTTCCCCCAATCGGTTCTGCCAGACCCGTTTTTCTCCCTAGTTCAAATTCACGCCTGACACCCCGCGAGTTGCAGTCACCTCTTTTCCGGTGGGTAATACAAGGTGTACATCTCGCCGATCATGGAGGACGGATTCGCTATACCGAGGGGCTCTTGGTCGTAGGCGAAGTCCTGCAGGGTGTTCCCGTCCTCGTCGTAGACTTCATCCTCCAGCCTGGCAACGAGAGCAGCAAGGAAAAGGAGTCAGCCGGGCTCCGCGGGGCGCTCCGCTCCACTCCGCGCTGCCGGCTTCCGGCTGCCTCGGTGGCCACCCCTCGGCGGAGCCGACCCGGGAGCCCCGGCAGCCCCGTCCGACTGCCCCATCCCCTCCCTGCACCCGCCCGCTCCCCATCCCCGCCCTCTCCTCTGCGGGGCAGGACCGCGGAGGAGGGAACACACCCGCCGTCAGACGCGCTCCAAGAAACCCCCCAAACATGCCCCCCCTCCCCCCGCCCTCCGCGGCCCACGCCCCGGCCCGAGAAACATCCCCTCTCTGCCAGCGCCGCGGCTGCTGCTTCCCGAGCGGAGCGCACGCCCAGGCGCGCAGCCTGCCGCGCACACACGCGTTTGTGTGCCAGGGGCTGGGCTGGGCTGGGCTGGGCTGGGCTGGAGCCGAGCAGCCTCCGCGGCCGAGACGGGGCGGTGAGCGGCAGCCCCACGGCCGGGGACCGCGCCCCGTTCCTCCCCGCAGCGCCCGCCGGCACGGAGGGGCTTCGCCTGTTGTTTTTCGTTGAATGGTGCCTCTGCCCTTTGAGATCTCGCCAGTTTTTTGCGTGTCCCAGCCCCCCCAGCCCCCGCTCTCTGCCTCCCTCTCTGCAGTACGATGTAGGTCATTGCACGTTACAGGCAGCTATTTTTGTCTGTGAGCTTTAGCGGAGGTATTAATAATAGATGCCGCTAAAGTGTTTCACTCCTGCTAATTCAGGCTCTTGAATGAAGAAAGCCGGCTTGCTGCCGGCTAATGGCCCCTCAGGCCACCGAGCCCGCTGCCCCCCGGCCGCACTGCCCAGGAAGATGACGGGGGCTGCTCCGAGCCAGCTCCGACGGGCTCCCGGTTACTGCAAGGACACCTCGGAGCCCCAGAAAGGACACCCACCTCGGACAACCATGCGGTCCCGGCATCCCCCCGCCCCTTCATCTCCGGTCACCGCACGGCAGTGACCCCCGCAGGGCACCCCGGAACAGAGCCAAGCGCCGGTGGAGCAGGACGACAGCACCGAGCCCAAAACTCCCCCTAAGCCAAGCAGCACCGGTCGCCCGAGCAGGCGACAAGCAGGGTGAGAACAGACTGCCATCGGCCATCCCGGACCAGGTGGCCTGAGCCCCTAGCCGCAGACCAGCGCGGGAAACTCCCTTGTGCTGGTGCCTCTGGGTGTCCTCCACTCCTGCCCCAAACACAGAGGAATTCAAACGCCCACGGCTCCCAGCTGGAAAAGGGACAGCACAGGCATCTCCAGCCTGCTCTGGAGCCCAGCAAGACAACTCCGAACACAGAAAACCAAACAACCTTGTGCCAGCCCCTTTCCCTCTTGAGAAGGGCTGTCATACACAGACAGGTAAACAGGGGAGAAGACACTGAATCCCCACCAGCTCCAGTACCGCTACACGAACCATGACAGCTCCCACACGCTTGCAGACAACGGCGCTCCCGTCCCCGCTCCCCCTGGCCGGACAGGCGATGCTCGGCGCTTCCCCTGGGCGAGCTGCGGGCAACCAGAGGCTGCCAAGCGCCCCGCAGGATAGGCGCCAGATGGGAGAGGAGCTTTTGGGCCCCTTCGACATGCAGCCGGGACCTCGGCCCGCTCCCGCCGACATGCAGCAGAACAGGTCCCCCCACTCTCGGGGACTGCACCGGGGACAAGAGGCCGTGGGTTACAGTACCGGGGTCCCGAGGAGCGGACCTGGGGGATGCCAGCGCGGCTGCCGGTGGAGGGGGTGGGCACACAGCCCGAGTGGAGGTGATGTCCTTTGGTAACTCTACTCCACATCCCCTCTCATTTTCCTCCCCGGTAAGATTCCGCTGCCCTTAGCTAAGCTGGGGCTGAGGGGGGCTGAAGTGTTCCCGACGGAGCTCCCGGACAGCTGACGGACCTACCTGAGCGCCGGGTACTGAAGTCCGGCTGCAGGTGAGCAGTAGACGCTGCAGTGCATTATTATGCCATAGACCAGGAGTGCTAAGATCGCTTTGCTACACATTGCCACTCTGTGCGGGAGGGAAAGAAAACTGCTGTAAAAAATAAGAAAAAAAAAAAAAAAGGGGGGGGGGGGGGGAAAAAAAAAAAAACGAAAAAAAAAAAAAACCAAAAAAAAAAAAAAAGGGGGGGGGGTGGGAAAAAAAGAAAAAACACGAAAACAAACAAACAAAAAAAAAAACCCACCACCACTAACAAAAACCCAAAGAAACCACCCCACGACACACCAACCCCTCGGCCTCGCCTGCCGGAAAACGAGGCAGAGCGGCCCCGGGGGACAAGCGCCCTGGGCAGCCGGGTGCCGGCGCGGAGCGGCACGGAGAGGAGCAGAGCGCTGCCCGGCGCAGAGAGCTGCGGCCGCCGCCCGCCCCGTCGGTGCCCGCCCGCCCCGGGACCGCCGCGGGAAGGCCCGGCGAGCCACCTCGTGTCCTTACCATTAAACTCTAGACAACCGGCACTGAGAGCGTTTGACTGCGAAACTAAAACGGCAGGTCTTGGGGGGGAAAAAATAAAGACCCAAAATGGGGAGGGGGAGAGAAATCGAGCTCTCTCCCAAGTTGCGTCCAAAAGGAGTTAAAACCCTCGTGACATCGCCTCTCCTATGGGCGAAGGACCGGCAGGATGCAGAAGATGCAGAAGCGGCAGCAGTTAGTTGTTTGCTGGTTTTAGGGCTATCCACTCCAAAAAGAAAAAGAGAGACAGGAAGGGGAAAAAAAAAAGATAAAGGAAAAAAGTTTGCAGGCAGCAGCACAGATCTGGAGTGGAGTCTACAAGGGAATTGAGAAAGAGGGATGGAGCGAGATGTCGCCGGAGAACCGAGCGCTGGGAAAGAGGGAAGAGAGCGAGCGAGTCCGGGCGGGAGCGGAGGCGGGAGCCGCGGGCTGGCTGCGTGCGATGTTGTCTTCCCCAGATCTCTCCCCTCACTGAGCGCCTTCAGCCTTCTCTTCTTCTCCTGCTCGGTGGCTCCAAACTTGACCAGCCTTCCGCAGCCTTCCGTCTGATACGCAATTAGCAAGAAAATCTTTGCAAACACCCCGCTTCAGCAAGAGCCCTCTTCGTAAACATTTGCCTGCTTGTTACCTTAGAGGACGGGCAATATTGTTTGTTGCCCCCGTAGTGGTGTCCGGATTTTTATTCATGAATCAAATGCCTTTTTTTTTTTTTTCCTCAGTCACGTAATAATCGGGTATCAGAAAAGACGTCACCACCCCAATTCCTCAAGGAACACAGTTCTGTGTCGTCCTCAAAGATGAGCTTATCAGGAGTCATAAAGCTTCTCATAAACACCAACTCACACTTCCTCCCCCCCCCCCAAACAAACAAACACGCAGAAAAGCCCCACCGCACAAATCTAAAAGGATGTTCGCCACAGTAAAGTTTTACCTGACGTGGGAAGGGAAGCGGAGGAGGGCAGTTAGGGGTGGGGTGGGGGTCCCCCGGCTTATTAGGCTCCCCCACAGCTTTGCTCCGGGTCTTTCCGCGGGGGCAGCTCACCCACACGCAGCCCGGGGCCGCCGCTGGGCGCAGGCCCCCGCGGAGCCGCCCGGCGCTGAGCGCGCAGGCGGAGCAGCCCCGGCGCGGAAACCCCCACTTCCGCGGAGATTTAACAATATAAGTGGCTATTTTTTTTCCCAGGTCCCCCATTTATTTTTCCTTTTTTCTTTTTTTTTTCTTTTCTCTTTTTTCTTTGGGGTTTTTTTTTGTTTTTTTGTTTTTTGTTTTTTTTTAAGGATTGTTAATAACGTTCCCATTACACAAGACTCCCCCCCCACCCCGGGGAAACCATCAGCGCCGTGACCGCTCTGCGTGTATTGAAGCCACGGGGCGTAAGGGACGAGCCCCACGGCCCCGCCACAGGGAGGGTCCCAGGCTCGGCCGGCGCTGCCGGGGGTGGAGGGGGGCGGCTTTTTCCCTCACTCCCGTGGCCCGACCCTTTCTTCTCTCCGCCTTGTGCAGACACAGATGTGCGGCTCGCAGCGCTTGGCAGAGAGGGAGGGAAAAGCATCGCCATGAGGAAAAAAAAAAAAAAAAAAAAAAAGTTGATTTGCCGGAGGGACCGGGAAGGAAATCCCTTCTCTGGGGACTTCCCCGCCGCCGGAATAATTTTCCCCCGAAGTGATGCGCTGGGCGCGGGCCACCGGCGGGCTCCCAGCCGCTGCAATTGCTGCTAGTCTCCACACTCCCCTCCCTCCGCGACCGAAAATGTGCCCTTCATTTCCGAGAATTACCCAAAGAAATACAGGCTTCAGGAGCCATTACTAGACATTTTAATTATTGGGATCATAACCAGAGCGTTCAGGAAGCAGCAATAATATAGTTCTCCTGCTTCCTATTTGAATGGGTTTGGTGTAACATGCTTGGATGAGTTATTTGAGCCCAAATCGATTTCTCAAAAACAACAACAACAAAAAACACACCATACAATTACATTCCTATTACGGTCATTTAAGGTTTCAATATTTTCCGGAGATAAAGGAAATTTGACGTTGAACGAATGATTCCCGTAGAAATGGCCAACTACGCGAGATCCCGGGCGGGGATGCAAGACTAGGGACGGAGCGGGACACTATCCCCGTTGTCATTCTGTGCCGGGCCTTTCAGGCCGGGAAAGACGGCTGGCAGGAGAGAGAACGGGGCAGGGCAGGGCGCCCGGCGGGGCTGTCGGGAAAGCTGTCACCCCGCCGCCCCGCTGGGGAAAGGATCGCCCCTCCGCTCCCGGGAGGAAAAGGGGCGCCCCGCGGGTCCCGCTGGAGCGGAGGCGCCCCGCGATGCCCGCTGGAGCGGAGGCGCCCCGCGATTCCCGCTGGAGCAGGGGCCCCCGCTGTTCCCGCTGGAGCAGGGTCCCCGCGGTTCCCGCTGGAGCGGGGGTCCCGGCGGTTCCCGCTGGAGCAGGGGCCCCCGCGGTTCCCGCTGGAGCAGGGTCCCCGCGGTTCCCGCTGGAGCAGGGGTCCCCGCGGTTCCCGCTGGAGCAGGGTCCCCGCGGTTCCCGCTGGAGCAGGGTCCCCGCGGTTCCCGCGGCCGGCCCGCAGTGCCGGGGCTTCCCCGCCGCTGCCCGCGGCCGCAGCGCGCTCGGTCCGTGAGCGGAGGGCGCCACCGCGCGGGCAGCTGCGCGCCTGCGGCCGGCGCCGCGGAGCCGCCGTCGGGCGGGCCGGGGCTGCCCCGTGCCCCGGCTGGGCTGCGGAGATCCCCCCGCGCCCGGCTGGGACAGAAGCCAGCAGGAAAGGGCGGCCCGCTGCCCCCCTGCACCGGGCTTTGGGGCTGGTGGGGTGTTTTTTGGTTTCCTTTGTCGTGACTCGGCGGTAGCAGGGGTAAACACGGGCTTTTCTAGAAACCCGTGGGGCCAGGACTGTGTGAATCACGTCAGTATGAAGGCTTGAGTGCACACTCCGCCTAAACATTCCTTCTCTCCAAAGAGACGGGACACACACAGGACACACATATTTTAAAGCTGTGGCTGTTTTCACTTTAGAAAAGCTACTTTCAGCTATTTTTGATAGATGCAGCCGCATTTCCTCTCCTCCATCCCTACTCCCCTAGATCCTTACAGAAAGTATGAGGATGCCTGAAATAGCAGGCATTAGCAGCACAGAGGTAGAGATACCCGTAAAACAAACCTGAAGGTACAGACCCCACACAGAGACCCTATGCCACCCTGGTGGTAACGTGCATGCAGCAGTAATGTCAGAATGGTTTGCAAAAAAATTCATCTTCTAAGCTCTCACTAATGGTGAGTGAGTAACTCACACACAGTTTGTACCAATAAAAGTTTCATAGCATCTCAGTCTACGTCACAGGGGTGTGTGTGCAAAGTGAATGTGATTATGACATGACTGCGGTTTAGGCTGAGGAAGTAAAGGTTTTAATCTGGTCTCTGCATACAACACAATACATTTCTCAATAACTGTCATCTCAAGGCTGAGAGGGATTTAAGGTATATAATATTTGCCTCTAGGGCAAATTCCTAAGGCAGCATCTAAAGAAAAGCAGGGGTTTTTTATTGGCAGAATTTCTTTCATCTTCCCTGTACCAGCTTAACTTAGACCTTTTAATTTATCTAACTATTTTAAATATCTATTTTATTAACTGAAGCATTATAATTCTATAGAAGTTTCTAGGGGAGCTTATGTCCTGTAAGCCTTGTCAAGCCTGACTGCAGCTGACTGCAACTGACTGCAACTGACTGCTGGAAACCTTGCTGCTAGAGTTCTAATTCAAAGGAATATATTTCGTCCTGTACCATAATGGGCATCTTTTTGACTCCTCAGAAATCCCCTTTTTATATTTATGCATTTTTTATTAAATATACTATGATTAATTTATCAAACTGTCAGGAAATTCTATTGGTCCATAAAGCCAGATATCTCATACACACTGATTGGATGTCCAGCCACTATATTCACATTTTTTCAGTATATCCCAACTTAGCTGCATGTTTTTAAAATAACCTGGAAGAATCTATAGAATACATAATTTTATCATGAAAGGACACATGTATTTCTGCCAATATAGAAAAGGATGAATTCTTCTTTCTCAAAAGCAAGCAATCCTGCCAAAGCAGCTGTCTTTCTCTGACAAACACACACATTATGGGTTTATCATGTATCTTGTACCTATCCCTGCCAGGCCTCCTTTCTTACTGGGGTGGCTTGGGGAACCTATTGTTAACCAGTATGCCAATGAATTCTTGTCTGCACCAGCTTCACAAACATAACACCAGCCTTCACTTTTTCTTGGCTTTCCTGACTCCTCCTCCTCCCCAAGGGCCAGCTCCTGGGAAGGATGAACTTGTCAGAGGGGAGATTAACCCATCCATTAAATCATTCTGTTGTAGCTGTGGTCATCTGAAAAAGGCTGATTAGGGATAGCCTGGCAACAGAACAGAAGATACTATAGCTCAAGCACAGCTTGGAAGACATTACAGCACTTCCAGCCGAGACATGGAACCTGCAGCAGAGATGGGAAAGCCCTACCTTCCTCCTTAGGCTAGATGTCAATCCACTGAGTGACAGAAAGAGATGAATGTGGGAACAGTCTGCGGCCACGGGGTGAAGTTCGCTGGCCAGCAACACTGTCAGTGGCCGAAGGGCACACACGAGGATGGCCGCCCCCATCTCTGCCGAGATCGTCGAGGGTGGCAGGGATGGCAGTGGCGTGGGTGACGCTGCAGGGGCTCAGCATGAAGAATCCAAAGTGAAGGAAGCAGGGAAAGGACACTTGTCTGAGTCTCCAGGGAAACTTTATTTCCCAAAGGGGGTCAGGAGGAAGTGCCAGAGAAAAGGGGGTCCGGCTAGCATTTTTAAAGAGGGAAGGGTACAAGGGCTGGATACAACTCTTAACCAGTGAGGGGATCTTAGGGGAGGATTACCTCACATAACTTAATCAATAGGGAGAACTCAGGGGAGGGAAGAAGCCTTTTAAGCCAAGAAATCATTGAAACAGGACTAACTGACAGGGAACATTCTGGAACACAAGGGGAGTGGTAACAGTAATTGACAGGAACGAGGGATGGAGTGACCGGGATTGGCAGGGACATATAAGGGAATGAGGAACAGGGACACTGGCACAGTGAGGGGCAAATATGTGGTGGGAAAACTTTGGGGTAAACAACTTGGGGCTGAACTATTTCAGGGAACAGAACGGATTACATGGGAGAAACCGTTGTAAATAACTAACATATAAATTCTAACTTTTATATTAAAACAACAGCCAAACACCAAACTACCACAATGAAGTATTTCATTCACAGAGTTGTTTTTCTTTTCTTAAGCCATTCCCTCTTATGCTTTCTTTAGATAAAAGCAGCAAAATGCTTAGGCATGCTGTAAAAAGCCTAAACATCCGTATGCTTTCTCATGTCCAAAGGGACAAAGCTGCAGTCCAGACAAGCTTGGTCACCCAGGCATGTTCTGGGCAAAATGTACAAACTACAAAAAAACCTCCAGCAACCAGGGATAATATTGGGACTACAAATCTCTCAAGAGATGATAGGGGCAAGCCTCGCTTGGTGGCCAGGACCTTGCCAGCCTCTTTGCATGAGAGCACCAAGCATTAGCAAAGTCTCTGTGAATCTTCAAGATAATTCCTTGCTACCTTTTATAACCTTACTTCCAAGCAAACAATTTTAAAAAAAAGGGCTGGGTTTTTGGGTTTTTTTTCTTTCCCTCTCTGAAGTGAGGAGGCAGAACAGTACTTGGCAGGGCAGCAGTGTAGGAGCACCAGCAGTGCAGTCACTCTGCTCTTGCTGCTGCTTAGAACTCACGGTGAGAGACAAGGCCAGTGGGTTGCCTGTGTCTTGCATAA